CGGTTTGAGAAAGAGAGAGAAATAAAGAGCAAAGAGAGAGAGAGACAGACAGACAGAGAGAGAGAGTAGAGAGCGTTGTGGTTTCTTTTATATTTTGTCGAGCTCTGCTTGAATGTGTGTGTGAAAAGAGGAGAGGAGGGGGGGATGCTGCCGAGTCTGGGCTCAACCCCGCTTCTGACGTGCGCACTTGAGGAGAGGGGAGGCCTCGGAGATAAGAGAGAGGCGTGCGTGCGAGCGTGTGTGTTGAGTGCACATTGAACGACCTTTTTCTTGGGTTGGATGTTATCTGAATTTTGTGTCATTCACCTCACCGTTCGCGCCTTTGTACACTCTCGCAGCTCGCTCTCTGGCCTACTCTGTATCGGCACTTGTACCTGGCCCCAGTCCATACTCCGACCTATCTTTTCAATCCAAGACGGGGCACGCTTTGGAGCGAGTCCACTTTGCAGCTCGCAGCCGAGTCTCAAGGAGTTGACGACCTTCATCTGCAGCAGTTGTGCACGAGTGAAGCCGCTATTCGCTCTCCGACAGCATCGAGTGCTGGCCACCGTCGTCATGACCAAAAAGAAGAAGGGGGCGCAGCGCAGCTTGGAGGAAGCCCGCGAACACTCCAAAGAAGTATATCGTCACTTTGACCTACCTGTTGTACGTCCCGGCGCACCTGCAATGCGTGTTCTTTTATAAATGCATCCGTGTCCCCGAATTGTCTTGACCTTCCTGATGCCTGCCGTGTTTCTGCGCCCGCTTCATCACACACATTCTTACACGCGGCGTGTTGGGTAGCTTGAAGGTGACCAGTATTATGTTGAGCGACTTCTTGATCGACGCAAAACCAAGGCACGCCGGGGCAAGCCAGCCGAGGAGCTATTTCTGGTCAAGTGGATAGGGTTTCCCGATGAAGAAAGCACTTGGGAGCCTCGGTCCAACATTCCCGAGGATATTGTGACTGATTTTGAAACAATGCTGGCTAGTACCAAGGCCAAGCGACCATCTTCCACAGCACCCAGCCACTCGGGCTCACCCAATACCAAGCGAGCAAAGCCGCCGAGCACAGCTTCCTCGGACGCCCAAGATCAGAGCGCAGCGACAGTCGATGCAGGCCAAACGTCGCCCAAGACCCCCCGCCCACCGAGTACCGATCCAACCGCTCCTTCCCCTAATGCCGTAGCTGCTGTGCAGACCTCACACGGTGCAAGCCCATTGGCTGGACCTAACATGGGGCCGAACAACGGCCTGCCGCGCCCACCGCCCGGCCAACCACCAGCGGCGTTGGCCGAACACAATCGGCGCTTTCCGGGCCCCACACCAGCCTCCGCTGATACCACCCCTAGTCCTGCCGCCCACCTACCCAAGGGGATCGTCCTGCTCAAATGCAGCTTGCCCACATGCAGCAACTTTGAGCATCGCCAATCCGAGGTGAGTGACTAGATCTTCGCGGGCCCGTTTGACTCGATCATGCATCCTTATGCTTCATCCGTATTGCAGTTCAAAGTTTGCGAGGCGTGTCGCAATGCCTATCGGCGAACCATTCCCTACTGTTCCAAGGAGTGCCAGCGCAAAGATTGGGCCAACCATCGTCTTTTGTGCGCCCATCGTTCCAACTCATCAAAGCAGCAAACCCCCAAAACGGACCTGTCTGCTGCCGGTACGTGCCCTTCGCTTTTTCGTTCTCCGAGGGGCTTGCCAGCAAGTCCTTGCTGCAATTTCCAACCTTGTGGTAGTGCTTGTGTGCGTTGATCAAAGCTCATGTTGCCATCCCTCTGTTTTCATTTAGCAGTAGAAACTGTGCGTTCCGTAAAGGCGTAGGCATTGCATCCGAAACAATGTTTGGGCCGTGGTCACATGATGGCCACGCCGTTTGCTGCTATGCATAATCTTCGTGTTGTTTGTGTGAAACGCAACCGTTGTCTCAGGGTTGAGCCCTGTGTGTCCTTATTTTCTTTGTCCAGAGCCAATGGGCCAGGAAAAGGAAAACAATTTTATAAACTTTGTTGCCTGTGAATGCGCTTTTCCTCAAAGCTCTGTTCTGACTCACATCTTGGCGCCGATACTTTTTCCACGGTTTCACACTGAAACTCAAGACCTGACCTGTTGTGGCCACACACCACCAGCCTGAGCATTGACAAGTCTCGATGAAGATGTTGTCTGTTCTTCAAGAGTGAGTGAGTGATCGAGTGAGTGAGTGATCGAGTGAGTGAGTGATCGAGTGAGCGATCGAGTGAGTGAGCGAGTGAGTGAGTGATCGAGTGAGTGAGCGAGCCAGAGCTCTCAGTTCGAATCGTGCCAAGAGAGAGACAAATTAAGAGAGTGAGTTTATTTTACATTGTTGTTGTTGTTGTTTGTTTGTGTTTTAAATTTTTGTCGGCCAATCGGGATCAACTGCTGGTGTCACTTGAACCTGATAAGAGCGGCTGTCGGAGACGCGGCGTTTCTGGGGTCATGGGTGGGCAGGGGGCTGTGTCTTGGGTCGGGTGGGGTGTTGGGGGTTGGATCTTTTTGTTTGCGTTCTGGCCGGCTACGCAGGCGCTCAATTTTACCTTTTACGTGGGTGACACCGTCGAGTTGACCAACTGCACAGCCTCGGAACTCGTTTGGAAACCGCGGCAAAGCACAGCTCAGCTTGATGGTGCGTGCGGCCTCGCATCGCGCCTTCAAGTCAACGAGCTTGCTTTCGGCTCCTTGGGTGACCGGTCTCTTTGTTACGCTCGACAAGACGCCAACTCATCTTGCTCTTTTGTCCCTCTCATCGTCACTCGGCTGACACTTAGTTCAAGGAAACACTTGCCGCTTCCTCGTTGACACGGCTGGCATCTACCTGCTCGACAACAATGCCAGCGTGCGTGGCTGGGAAGGCCCCACAAAGGAGACTTTGGTCGAGGACAGCTTCACAGCTACCGCCCCGGATTTTCCGTGGGCATCGGACCGTGCTCCACAGACCTGGTATCTACCCACAGAGGGGTGTGTTTATAATCGTTCCGCCAGCGGCTTGCGGCTGTCGGGTCACGGTACATGCGTGCTTGCAACGCATCGTGCCGACATCAACTTTGCACGCCAACCGCTTTGGCTCAACGTGAGCCGCTGGCGCGTCAACAGCAACACGGCTGCCTGGACTTGGCGCTCACCTGCCAACGGCGATTTCGTGCAGGTGAATTGCACTCAGGACAAAATTCGCGTCTTTACCCAAGTCAACAGCAGTTTTGCGTGGCGGGCCATGGCTACTGCCGATTGCGGTGCTTGGCCCTGTGACCTCAGTATTCTGATCGAGGAGAGCAACATCTCAATCACCGTCAACTCCACTGGGCTGATCAATGCTCGTCATGGTGTCACCAGCTCTCAGTTTGGCGATCGCACGGGTAACACGCGCTTGGAACTGAGTCTACAGAGTGCCGTTAGTGGGGTGGTGGCTGCTGGTGTCATGCGCCTGGGCGCCTTCTTGCCTCCCAATCAAGGCCGTGCCATGCTCTATCCCATACCAGCATTCCCTGAGCCCAACTTGTCCTTGCCCTTTCCGGCCCAAGCGATCGAAATGAGACTTGGCTTTCTTGACCCAACCAAGGCACCTTTCTTTGCCGACCCCTCGGGCGCTACCGACAGCACCACAGCGTGGCAGCGAGCCATTGCAGCGGCTTTCCATTTTGGTTATGTACTCTTGGCGCCGGGGGGCCAATATCGGATTTCAGACACCCTGACGCTGCTGCAGGACGAATGCCAATCCTGCAATCGCCGCTGGCGAGCCAACATCATCCGAGGTGCGCCCGCTCTCATGTCCCTCTCATCAGCAGTGCCGGCAAAGAATCGGCAGTCTTTCGTGTGAGAAGCATCTGGTCCCACGCTTGTCTTCAGCCTCAGGTCTCCGTTGTTTTGTCAGGCGAAACACGGAGCGGTCATCCGCCCACAACCTTTGTGCTCCCTGCCGATGCGCCAGGTTGGCTCGTGCTCTCACGAATCAAGAGCTTTTGCCCGCAGGAATGAATGTCTGCATCACATCATCTGTTGTCGCTAGGCTTTGGCAATCGATCACAGCCGAAAACGCTGTTTGACATTATCAATCGCAACGGCGAAAATGACTTTCAGCCCAATGAAAACATGAATCAAGTGCGTGCATGCCTCGAGCATCCTAAGAGCCGCATTCATTCTATTTGTGGCCCGTGAGAGGAGGTCTCAAACCCGCGCTCACGCCTACCTGTGACAGGGGCTCTTGGACTTGCACATTGTGATTGAAGAGCGGAATGTAGGGGCGATTGCCGTGCACGCTCGTGGGGCACAAGGCACGGGTCTTGAGAACGTCACGATCGACTTGGGTATGCCACAATTTGAATCATGCCCAAGGCCTGCTGCTGCAAGCCTGCAAGAGATACCCGCCGATTGATGCGGAACACACGTTGTGTAATCAGCTTTTGTCCTCACCGTCCACTCTTTTGTGTTGCCAGGAACCGATGGCTTCATAGGGGTGCGGGGGGCTTCTGGCAGTGGCGGGGCCCATCACAGCGTCACGATTTTGGGAGGTGCCTTTGGTTTGGATCTGCGCTTTGCACAGCCGGGCCCCACGGTATCCAGTGTGACCCTGGCCAACCAGCGCTGTGCTGCACTCTTGTATAGCGGTCTGCAGGTATGTGCACTGAGTCTCATGACAGGCCTTGTGCGGCATCTGCTTCAAGCTGTGCAGGCCAGGCCAGGGTTGTCCGTGTCTGGAAGCAATTGCCTGCACAATTCACGCCGTGTCTCAATAGGTGCTGACACTTGTGGCTGCCAACATCTCCGCCAGTGCGCACACGGCTTCAACTTCGTATGCCGCTCTGTATGCTTTTTGCGACAACGGGCTACAGTTGCCACGTGACTTTTTGGACCCCAACTCTTCCTGTTTTCTCCCCGCACTTGCGGGCCCTCAAGCCTGCCAAGCCAGTGCGAGCACACATGCAAGTTCACATCCTCGAACCCACTCCCTCCAGGCAGGAGACATCCACGGGAATGTTGAGAAGGGATGTTGCGTGACGCGTCGATTCATGCTTGATATCATCCTTGCATGTGCAGGTGTCAATGGTTGACAGCGTGGTGGAGTTTACGGGCAGCCCAACAGCCCGTCCCGCCTTCATCACTTCGGGCAACCTCGTGCTCAACCGAGTTTACCTGACAGGGTATCTGGATCTCGTCAACTTGACCAAATCTACAAGCGTCATTCATCTCAATGCATCGCAGGGTTGGACGCTGGTGGAGGAATTTGCTCACAGCCAGACTTCGCCGCCTGCGGTACGAATGCCTCTGTCAGCAATGGCACCTGCCTGGCATTTTGTGTTGCACTCTGAGCGTGGTTTGATGCATGTCCAGCTGACGGGCCATCGACTTCTTGGAACATCCTAGTACGATGCTGTGACAAAGGCAAATGTAAACTTGACGCATTTTGGACTACTGCACGGTCGCACCGTGCCCGCTTACTCGTCCATGACGGTACATTCCGGCGTAGCAAAGCCGACTGCAAGCCTCTTCATACCGCATGGATGGACAAGTACACCATCACCTCGAGAGGCTGAAGCCTACATTAATGTTCAAGATAGCCCGTTTGAGGCTGCGGGAGACGGTTTGACCGATGACTGGGCTGCGCTGCAGCAGGCAATCAACGCAAGTGCAGGGCGCCCGGTCTTCCTGCCACGTGGCATCTATGCGCTCTCACGAGGGCTTGTGGTCCCTGAGGGCACTTCCTTGTTTGGCATTGCACACCACTTGACGTTTATCGTGCCCGTCTTCACACTTGATGAGCGGGCTTGCTTCCCACTCGTCACCTTTGGAGTCAACGCTACCGGCTCAAAGGTAGGTTGGCTCGCTAATATCAAGCCGGTAGCATGCTCTGCACAAGGCCGTCACTGATTCAACAGGCCGTTGGCATGTGCGGCTTTTTTTGATGCTGTAGCCTGCAGCGCTGTATGGGCTGAACCTCGTGCCTTTTATCCGCACCCCGCAAATCAGCGCCTTGCAATGGAGTGCCGCACATCCATTGTCGTCATTTCGCCAGATGGGTTCCTGGATCAAGGTGTGCGCCCTGCTGCCTGCGGTTGCATGCGTGAGCATTCGACGTCTGCCCCACTAGTTGAATTCTACTGCTAGATTGAGCGGGGATGCAAATCGAGGAATGACACGCGCGAGTGCACGCGCAAGACTTATACTGTCCTTGCGATCGTTTGCCTATTTGTCCAATGCGAGTTTAGCCGTCCCTATGCGACGACGACGGGCGCATTGCGGGCTGCCCAGGACCTGCTACTTTCAAGGCGAATGTGAGTCAGGTGCACGTCATCGGCCCGCACGCATCGGGCAACTTCTTCACCATGCACCACGAGGATTCCGAAGTGGAGCCTGCGTATCGGTACGTAGATGCCCGGCAATTGTAGCTTTCACTGTGTACAAAGCGTCTTTTTCAATGTAAACTCGACGTCTTGGCTTGATGGCAGACACTTGCTGATCGAGGCTGGACCTCTGGGCCGGTTGGGCTTTTACCATCTTAACACGGAGCATGCTATGGCAGACGCCAATACCCACGTCCGCGACAATCAGGCACGCGTAGATATTTACGGACTCAAAAGTGAAGGTAGATATGCGGTTGTGTGGCTAGAGCGCAGCTGCTGCGTGACGCTATGGGGATACGGCGGCAATGCTTGCCCCTTTCCTTTCAACTCGAGTTATCCACCGGGGTTTGCAGACTACCCGCCTTCTTTGATCCGTGTGACGGACAGTCCAAACTGTACCTTGTACAACCTGGTTGATTACATTGGTCAAGGCACGCTGGAAAACAAGCCAGTCCCTTGCGACGCCATTGACGAGCGCATCTTGGTGTATCAGCGTGACACGCAGATGGGCACCAGCTATCACAGCTTGCAAGACGACCGCCCTCTGGTTGTGCAAACGTGAATGCCTTGGTTTTTTTTTAGCTGCCTCTTGTCTCTTGAGCCGTCGGCGGACATGATCAGTCTTCAAAAGCACGTTGAGTTGTGCTTGTTCCCGTCCGCTGTCTGTTTGTTTGTTTGCATGACATAAGCGCCCTCGAGCGCCAATGGGACAATCATCGTTTCAAAACAATCAATCCAAAAGTGACTTTGACCAAAACTCACACTTTGGTGCTTGTGTGAAATTTTCACAACATCGTCCATAAGATCACCACTTGAGTGTGTTATCCTGTTCAAAGGCCACAAAGTCAGTGGGGACTTGGCTGGTCCTGTCCCTCAGTTCCGACGTGGTCAGCAGCGACTTGAGGAGCATGGCTCGGTTCGAGGGGGCGGGTGGCCTACTGGCCTTGCAGCCCGTAACGGCTGTCAAGGCGGAGGTGGACAGCCAGGGTGAGCTGCAAGTATCGTGGCGTGCTCCGGCCAGGGGCCCGACAGCTCGTCAATATAGTGTCCAGATTCGACCCCTTGGCGCAACGGACTGGCTCGTCGTGGGCGAGCCATTTGGCGCTGATGCTTCCTTGCGGGTCAAACTCACGGAACTGAAGCCCGAGACGATGTATGAATGTACTGTCGTTTCGCATTCTATTCGGGGGCCTGGCCCCATCAGCGAGCCCGCGCAATTCCAAGCACCTGCTCGCCGACCCCAGCACACCGTCGAGCAGCTTCGCTGCACAGGCTGCTCGCCATCGCGCATTGACTTGGCGTGGGAACAACCTCAGGGCTACGCGGGCAAACTATCCTATACCGTGTACTATGATCGCATTGGGGATCCACACGAGAGCCACGAACGCATCGTCACTGACGGCTGCACACTACAGCTCACGCACGTCTTTCCCGCAACTGTGTATCGCATACAAGGTGAGCCCTAGTATTTTTACTTCCTTTTCTCTTGTGCCTCTCTTTCTTGCTCTCTCTTCCCCATGCACACGGACCAGGCAGACAGATAGGCAGACACAGACACAGATAGACACCTTCTGGCCGCACAATTCTATTCAAACCCTTCCAATCATGGTCGGAGGATCGTTGATAACTATTTACGAGACTGCTTGCCACCAGTGGCCGTATGCACAGCAGCGGGAGAGGGCCCCGTGACACCAATGCTTAATGTGACGACCCAGCAGAATCCAGCTGATCCACGGCAGGTCCAGGTGCGAGACTGCTTTGTGTGATCAGTTACCTTCAGCGTCCCTAAAGGCTCACGCCAACAGCCCCTTTTCATACATACAGACGACACAGGTGTACAAGAACACGCTCAAAACGCAATTCGTTTCTGGTACGTCTCGGCTTTATGATCGAGTGAGACTTCCGCCTGAATGCTTTCTCATTCTCTTTCCCTTGATGCGTTAGGCCAGCGCCACTACATCCCAGTGCACACGCCCTTCAAAGCCGGTCTGTGCCGTGAGCTGCAAGTCAGCAAGGTCTCACGAGAACAAACCAGCCTGTGTTGACTCATGCCGGCGTATATTTTTGTCACGTTGCCACGGCGTGATAGAGACGGCACCAGCAGCGCCCAAGCGCTTCTTTAGCCGGGCCAAGTTGGAGAGTGCGGTGACACAGCGTAGTCAGCACGACACAGGAGCAGGGTCGGCAACAAAATCTGGCACGCAGGTGGCGCAGAGCCGTTCTGAGCCGCCTCGGCTGCCTCAGAGCCACCTTAACGAGCAGTTTGATGCTCTCGTACAGCGTGCCCACATTGACACCAGTCTTTGGGTTCTGCACGCATGCTGCATCACGCGCATTTGGACCATTTTCATTGTTCGACGCAAAAAACCAAGTGCAGTCTATGCCGCTGTGGTGGATAAGGTAGGGCTTGTTGATAGTGCACACATTGATAATCATCCTTAAACGCTGACGCTTGAATTGTGGAAAGGGGCCGCAAAAAAATGCACGATCACAGAAAGTCAGGTGCAACACAGTTGCACACTTGTCTCAAACGGAAGCAAAGCCCGTTATTCATGCTGGTGTGGATTGCGTGTTGTATGGTCATAGGCGGATGGTGTGCAGTTCTTGACAAATAATGATGCCGGATTTGCCACCGTTACCGAGGCCAAGCTTGCGGGAATGACAGCTTAATGTACAGCTGCCGCCCATGCGCATGTCCATCTTCTGAGAGCCGCTGTGCGGCTAGTTTGATGAGGCTTTGCTTAACATTCTTCCGCCAGAGAGAGGGGGGAGAAAAATTGGAATTGAGACCGAGAGGTAAAGAGGAAGTGAGAGCGCTGACACAAATGCTTGCGGCCACGCCCCCAGCAGAGAAATGGGCGGGGAAAGATGCTGTCTTTGTTTGGCTTGGCGCGGACTGCAAAGTCAGGCGCCAGCGTTAACACCAGGAAAAGAATGGCAAGCGTTCGGTGACAAACTGGCGGTACCGCGATTGATCATCGCCGCGCTTGCGGCGCAAGAATACCGTAGCTGCAAGCATGAGATAGAGTGAGCAAAGCCACCAAGCCAAAGGAACAGTAATTCCACAACCAAATAAAACGACAGCAGCGTTGGCCAGCGCCAAAAAGACATGTGAGAGAGCGGTCTAGTGGGGTTGCATGTCAGGTTGCACATGAACGAACCGGTGCGCATCTGGACGAGTTGCTCAGGAGACTTGCGCTGCTGCAAAGCGGTTTTGAGATTGATAATTTGACCGCGCATGACGGCCATCTGTTGCTCAAATTTGTGACGAGAAAAGCTCTTGTCTTGGCTGAAGAGCACGTAGAGCTGGTCGCCTGGGACGGAGATAGGAATGATCAGCGTAAAAGATGAGCGGTTAAAGCATGGGTGATTGGGCGTGCGTGCATCGTGTCTCGTGTCTCCAACCAACCCATATCTTCGATAAACTCTTCTCGTTCTAGCTGTGGCAGAACACGCAGGATTGTCTCTTCGGAAAAAGGTCGCTTGGCCTGTGGACAAGCGATGAGGGAGATGGGGCTCGTGCATGTGAGGTGTTTGCTGCCGTTTTTTCTTCAGGCAGAGAGGAGCAAGACACACCAGGGGTAGCCAGGCCCAATGGAAGGGGTAAGTGCGCCAGTTGTCGGGGTGCTTAAAAGGGAAGGAGAGGCCATTGTCAATGGCTGCTAGCTTCAGACTGCCAGGTGTTTTCAGCTCAGGATTGGGCTGAGCAGCAATGACAGGGAAGGAAGAAAGGAGGCACGACAGTGCGGAATGAGCTACGAGTGGGCTGGAAAAGCACCCTGATGGCCCACAAGCGGAAAGCGGCCAAGTCTCGGACCGGGTCGTATTTGATCAGCCAATTGTCGTTGTTGCGATCCGTATTGCGGGTAATGTAATCAAGCACGACCAAGAGCTCGAACTGATGCTGTTTTCGTGACACATGAAAAAGATGAGCAAGCAGCGGGCTTGCGACCTGGCATGTGGGGGGGCTAAAACGGTGCGGAGCTGACCTGGAGCTGAAGTTGGATGTGGGGCGGAAGCGTGTCTGGGTCATGCTCGCGGAGGAAGACCGTGGCGTCCTTGTAGCCCTTGACAAACTGTTGGAATGAGCCCACTTTTGGGGGCAGGCCTTGGCGTAGATGGCGTCCCACCTGTGGTCAAGATATTTGGGGCCCATGTAGCCGCAATTATCGAAGGTATGTGAGCGGGCTGGCGGGCCAGGCCGGCAAGGCAAGGACCGTGAGTCGACGACAGCGGATACGCACAGTTTCAGGAAAGCGGCGTGATGCGCTTTGTACGGCACGGGCACGGGCACGGTCAAAGCGTGAGTAGTGGAAGGTGGGGCTGGTTAAGCGCACCACGCGCGTTTTGGGGACAATGTTCAAGTTGAGGCACGTGTCCACCACGGAGGCACCGGCCTCTGACAGATAGCCTGATGGTGCAGTTGCGCGGGGGTGAGTTGAGGCCTTGGAGGCGAAGAGTGGAAGACATGGTAGTGCATCGAGAGTCACATGGCGGGTTGCACAGAAGACCATGGGTTGGCATACCTGCGTTTTGCAACAAGCAATTGCGACCGTACATGCAGCAGCAAAAATTGCGCTGAAACCATTTGCCCCACTTGGGGTTGAGAGCGCCTGGTGCGAGGTGCGCACCGGGTGTGAGCTGGCGTAGTGGACAACGCGTCTTTGCAGAGGAGGCCCAGTACTAGGCAGCGTTGACGGCATTTTGCACCAACCGTAAGGCTCCTCGTTCTTGGGTTTGAAGACACCCACAAGTTCCTTGTCAATGTTGCGACAGAAATACGAGCCACTGGAGCCCTGGGTAATCCTGAGATCCGGCCGTGGGGCAAAGGCACGAGATCGGTCAATGGAGTGACGTTGATGCCCTGAACAAACCACTTTGTACAATCATCACAAAGTGTCGGGCCACAGCAGCCGTGCCAGGAGGGCAGGCTACTGGTGTCCTCGCAGCGGGTACGCACAGGTAGGGAAAGACGCCATCGCCAATGGCTTGCTCCACAGAGGCGATGACGGCAGCAAAACCGGGGTCATGTTGTTGAATGGGCAGATTGCCCTCGCTGAGCTGTAACAACAGGATCGTACAAGATGACACACATGCCACAGTGAGAGGCGGCACACGTTGCTCATGCCTGTTTCTGCGGTCCTCATCCGAGGCGCACATGGTGAGGTGTACGAGCCGTGGCATAGTGACCACGTACATGACGCAGGAGGGGGGTACGGGCATTCCGGGCCTCGTGTGCCATGTCTGCTTCCCGTTCCATGTTCATGGCGTCGGATCCAAGGAGCGCGGTGCCTTCCAAGTCAGAGTCAGAGTCAAAGTGCTCGGAATCGTCGTGTTCGTCCGGTACAAAGCTTCCACGTGCGACCCGAGGCGAGGCTTCTTCGTCGTCAGTGTCCGTTGTCACCACCACTTGAGTACGCGCCTGGTTCAGAGACGACACACTGTCCGGCATCGCTTCACCCCAGCTGGCCCAAGCAGGCCGGCGTGTGCCCAGGTGCCCCTCCCTCTGTACGGGCCAAGAGGGGCTCCTTCCTCACGACTGCTCTGCTGGCAAACGCGCTTCGTTTGCTTGCGTTGTCCCTCGTCAATGGCAAAAGGACGAAAAAGCACCGTGTGGGGGAAAATCTCCTGAATCCTCCTCAACGCGCTCACCACTCGATGCCCACGCCCACGCAAAAAAACCAAGAACGAAACCGATCTTGAGAGCCAGAAGCAGGTGGCACGATGCTGGAATCGTTGGACCCGCAGCCTGCACGTCCTTGTCTGGTCTCGTCTTGCCACCGTTGCCCGTTACTACAAAACGTGACAAATGATGGATGAGAGAGAGAGAGAGAGAGAGAGAGAGAGAGAGAAGAGAGAGAGAGAGAGAGAGAGAGAGAGAGAGAGAGAGAGAGAGAGAGAGAGAGAGAGAGAGAGAGAGAGGAGACACACACACACACACACACACACACACACACACACACACACACACACACACACACACACACACACACACACACATGCGTTCGTGCAAGTGCAAGATTTGGGTACCGTCACTGGTTTCGATCGTTTGCATCAAGAACCGTTACGAGATTGGAAAAAAAAATTAAATTTGGGGGTCGTTGCCGTTTGCTGGGGAGGGGAGGGGAGGGGGAGCCTTTCATTTGGTGGCTCGGCTGCCTCGTCCGCTATCGCGCGCTTCTTTGCGCTTGGTGGGTTGGTTGTTTTGAAGAGTGTCCAGTTGCGGCCGCGGGCCATTCGGGCTAGTTTCCATCGGCACGGAGGTCGTGCTGGCTTCTCTGGTCGGAGTTGGAGAGTCGATTTGGCCGGATCAAAGTGGCGCGAAGCCCGAGGGCTTCTCGCCAAAGAGCATGATCCATGACGACGCCAAAGCTGCCGGCTCGCCTCCGGCATTACCACCTCGATGCGGTGGCTGGAACAGGAGCCTTTGCTAGTGTATACCGAGCCACCAACACCAATCCCGGTGCAGATCAGACCCCAGTCGCCATCAAATTGATTCGCAAGCACGACTTGCGCTCCCAAGGTGAGTGCTGGCACTGCTCTCCTAGTAGACACACACGCCCAGTCAACATCAAACTTGTCGCTCTGAACCGGGCATGCAAAAACCGGAGCTTGGCAACCATTGCCGTTTGCGAGTTTCCACGCACTTTTGGTTGAAACGTGCTAGTTCCCCGCTTCACCCAGCTCCAAGCTCATCATGTCTAACATGCCGGCATGCTGCTTTCTGACATCACAATCTTGAAGATTTACAGGATCGAGTGCAGCAGGAGGTGGGCATCCATACTCGGCTCCGCCACGAGCACATCGTCCGTCTGATAGACTTTGGCGAGGACGACGATCACATTGCCCTCGTTCTTGAATACGCTGGTGGAGGCAGCCTAACGCATTATCTCCAAAACCTGAAACGACCCCTCACCGAGCCCGAGGGCCGTCTATTTATTGTTCAGGTGAGAATGTGCTTCACCCATTGTCTCAGCATGGTCTCCCATCTCAATCTGCCAGAACCATCAAGGCCACATAGCCACGCATAACCTCATTGGTTGAGGCTTTCTTCCCTGCCCCGATCGCAGCTACTCGATGCGCTCGAGTACCTCCACCGTCATGGTATAGCCCACCGTGATTTGTCGCCATCCAACATCCTCCTCACAACCGATTTGCAAGTCAAACTAGCAGACTTTGGCATGGCCAAAGTCGTGGGTGGTGCTGCTTACCCCGAGTCTAGGTGAGCGTCCGGAGCGCTCATGCACAACAAAGTGGCAAGGCCACTGAATGCCTTTCCTCGCACCCATGCGTTGGATGAACCAGTGCACGTTGTACGACTCACGACAAACAACGTCTCTTTCTTTGCTTGACGCATGTTTTGCCAAAACCAGCCTTAACTTGACCTTGTGTGGCACGCCCTCGTTCCTGGCCCCGGAGATGATCCAGAAGCGTCACCATGGCCTGAGCACGGACGTTTTTTCCCTTGGCGCCGTGGCCTTTTTCCTTCTGACTGGCTCAGCGCCCTTTGACGTTCAAGCACATAATGCCCTCAAGGCCACCCTGGCCAAGGTAGAGCTCCCTTGACCATCTGTCACGCCTCTTCCTCTGGCTTGCTAGCTCGCATTCACGGCGACACACCGTTTTCTGTAAACGATCAATGCTTGCACCTCTTCAGGTCGCCCAGGTGGAGTACACCATGCCTGGCTCCTTGAGCTCTAGTGCGCAAGACTTTATACGGCAATGTCTTCAAGCGGTTTGTCGTATTTTTGGCAGCCTCGAGCATGACGACCTTTTTCTACATTGTCCAGGTCACCGTTTTGGTTGTGGTGCAATTGCCTAGAATCCCGAATATCGACCGACGGTGGCAGACTTACGGCAACACGACTTTTTGCACGCCGAACGCACGGCTGCCAGTTCCGCTGAGGCCAGTCCTGCCCCCACCCGGCATGTGGCAGCAACACAAGATCATGTCGCCCCAACATGTATGTATCGCGCCCCTACTCTGGCATTCAACGCGTGCTGTGGTCTCGGGTGCCTGGAAGATCTGAGGCTGTCTGGACTGTCTCACGCATGCATGGACAACGTCTTGTAGTGGGAGCGCAGAGCCGTCATTCAAACACTTCGGTTGGATCGTCATCCCATGCCAGTCAAAGTGCTCCATGGATCTACGCCCATCCTAAAATCATCGATCCAGCCGAAGGGGACGGGAGCCACAACCAAGCCGGCGCAACTGCGGCCAGACGATCGCTGACCTTTGGGTCGAGCTCTCACAGGGGTATGCAGGTGCCTGCAACGTCGGCCCATTATGGCTCCAACCATAGCCGACCGCGCTCCTCACCCGGCGGATCCTCTTCGGACCGTGCATCATCAGGCAATCCTGCTATGGGAAGTGCGCACTCAACTTCGCTCGACGCTGGCGCTCGAGAGAGCATCATGTCAAGCCTGCGCCTTTCGTCCCACCTTCAATCTTTAAACGAGAGTCGACACACCAGCATTGCGCCTCCAAGTGCGACGGGAACTGCGACGGGGTTTGACGTGCGCCGACTTCGACCCTTTCGCCACGCCGGCAAATCTTACACGGTGCGGTGGCTTGTGCTAACTCATCTACTCGCGCACCCATCACCAGCCCTTCTTGTTCACTTCATCATGGACATTGTGCTGCGTCGGGTTCCCTACACCAGGTTGAATTGACAGCCGGTCGGCACATTATTCTGGAGCTGGCGCATGAGCGTTTGGTCTTTGACCAGGCTGATGCCCAGGTGCAGCGCCACACAGCACAGCATGGGGTGCAGGTATGCTGTGGTGCATGTGTCCGAGTGCCTGGTTATCTGGTTCTGCACCTGACGTGTGTCTCACGTCTCCCATTTTTTAAATGAAACCCCGATACATCCATCTGATTATGCCCCCGTGCTTTGGCGACCTATCTTTCAGACATATGACTTGGCCACTTGTCCACCCACCATTGCGAGCAAGGTCGTTGCTGTGCGCCGTGTGTTGGACATTGTGCGCAGTAAGACACCCAAAGTCGTCTACTATTCGCCACATGGCAAATGCATGGTGAGTCGGGCTGCGGTGGATGGCCCATCCTCAAGATCGAAATAGTAACGCGCGTCTTCTCTCACTTCTCGCTTTCAAACCTTCCCACCATGCAGCTAATGGAGAACCACGACAGGGACGTGGACTTTCGCTTCTATGCATCTGCAGCACGAGGTTTGGATCTTGTCTTTTTTTTTTTTTTTTTAATCCATCTATTCATTCAATTTTTTTTTTGCGTTGTGGTCTCCTCTTCGCCTTTTTCGCCCCTGACATTCTCGCGTTCTTTTGCTCGCAGTGGTCTTTACACGCGAGCGCATTGATCTGTGGCTTCCAGACGGAAGCCATTATGAATTTGCCAAACATCAACAGCTGGGGGACGCTCTGGCTGCAGTTGAACGCGTGTTGCCCGAGGCCCGGGCTGATGAGGCGCTGACTTTCCTGCGCCATGCTTGGACCTGCCGTTCGTTGTGCGAGAATGTGGAGCAGCAGCAAGAACAGGTTGGTGGGTTTTCACAGCGCTATGCAAGGGCGCACATTGGTCGGGCCCCAGGCTCACTTGCCGGCCTCTAATTACTGGTCAATTTCTTGTGCCAGGGAATGCGTCTAGCTCGCATTGATGGACGTGAGCCAGTCATCGATGTATTTCCCATGCGGCTTGGCAACCGCCCGGCCGATGCCACGTCGTCTCGTGGTGGCTCCTTGCTGCATCCTGGGCCCTCGCGCATAAGCATGCGAGGTCCTGCGTACCCCACCTCGCTCCGCTACCATGCTGAAACTCAAGCCTGGCAACTATTGACAAGCACTGATGATGTTTTGCAGCTTCGCTCCGACGGCACGGCAGCTGTAGTGCTTCATGCTGGGCATAGCATGACTGTATTGCAAGCCGAGTCCACCGCCAGAGGCTGGGTGCCTTTGCGTGCGGCACCTCCCCGCAATCTGCAATCTGCGCAGTCATTGACACCCCGCGAAGTCACGATCGTGCGTGCAACGGCCGAGTACATGGACAGCCTGGGTATTCGTCCTGCCGAGGTACCCGTGCCCACAGCTACAATATAGGCAAGCATGGCCATGCTCTTTGTAAATGTGTGAGCTTATATCAATCTCTTTTTTCTTTTTTTTTTCGTTTCTTCCTCTTCTTTCAGCATCATGCTATGAACATCATGAAGATACGTTCTTGTTTGTTCTGGGCCCCGAATTCAGAACAGTTGCCCATGCGATGACGCTGATGCCTTTCAAAACACTCAAAATCAACTTGACCAGAACATAACAAAAGCTGAGGTGAATGGTGAGCTGGCCCTGGTGGAGGTCAAACCTAGTGTGCCTGCCATTTGCCTTCGTGATTCACTGTGGTGGGCAATGCGATAACAAGCGAGAGAGAGAGAGAGAGAGAGAGAGAGAGAGAGAGAGACAGACAGACAGACAGACAGACAGACAGACAGACAGACAGACAGACAGACAGACAGACAGACAGACAGACAGACAGACAGACAGACAGACAGACAGACAGACAGACAGACAGACAGACAGACAGACAGACAGACAGACAGACAGACAGACAGACAGACAGACAGACAGACAGACAGACAGACAGACAGACAGACAGACAGAAAAGACGAGTGCAGCTGGTGAGCACGACGGACAAACTGAATGAGATGATCCGCATCCAAGCAAAAGCGGCCAAGTGGACAGACCTCGCCACAGGATGGTCTGACCATCCATGGACACTGACGCCAAAACGGTTCCCGTCGCGTTCCAGCTCAGTCGGCAAATCTAGTTAAAAAAAAAAAACACACAAAACACAAAACACAAAACAAAACAGCCATGCAAACCAGGGCAAAGGCATGTCAAAAAGTCGGGAGCGGCTGGACTTCAATTTCAAAGGGTAAGCGGTACGCACGCTGTTGGTATGCTTGACCTCGGCACTGAGTTCCAGGCTTTGCTGTTCCACGCTCATCTCCACGGCACCTCCCCTGCGATTGCGTGAGAAATGTAAGGTAAATGAGGGCCAAGTGCCTGGCATCAAGTCGCCATGGAGGGGCGGTGCACGATACGACAAACTTCTTGATAGCAACGACTTTGAAGATGGCCACATCTCCCGAGCTGGTACCCGCTGCTAGATACAAAAAGGAACTGCATGGAGCGCGTGCATGGAGCGCGTCCAGGGAAAATGAAGACAAGGTATTCCATGTTGAACGATGGGGTGGCACCGTTCGTGAGAGAGCGAGCGAGCCAAGGGGGTGGCAATCTTGCGGACGACAACTCTACCGGCTCAGGGTCGGGGCAAAGGCCATGTCCGTTACATCGAGTTGCATGGATTGCAGGGCAACGGCAGGCCTAAGTTCCAAGGCGAATCATGCCACCAATTAAGGCCAGTTATGGAAGGCGGGCAGGTCGGAAGCACCATGATCGGGGATTCGACTTCTCACTTGCGACCGTTGAACTGATACAATTGCAATCCCTGTTCCTTGTTGTGTAGAGAGCTATCGACACGATGCCGGCAGTTGAGACGTGGGAGATAAATCGACGGGCGATTGATACGAGTGGCCTCGATCAGATCAGATCAGGCCGGGCGGGCGGCGTACCCAACGGCTAGCAGCATGACGCCTCGGTTGGAGATGGCCCAGTCCAGGGAGGTAGCGCGGGCATCCTTGCTCATTTTGATGCGAAAGTCCGACTGATGTAGGTGATAGAGACGGGTGTGTCAGCGAGGGCGTGCAAGTGAGGGTGCGTAAGCGAGGGCACACCACGTCTTGTGGGGCAACCAACGCACCATTTGGGCCCAGTTGGAGAGGTTCATCACATCGTCAGCCTCGTAAATGCGGACCATACCGTCGCGAGAACAAGCAGCCTGCATTCAAAGACGTTCAAGTCAACATGCATTGGTCAAACAAGAACAAAAAGTAAAAAATAAATAAATGCGAATGTGTATCTGGTGTGTGTCAAGGGCATGTGCTGGGCTTGGTAATGCAGGGATGCATACCAAGGCCAATTGATACTCGTCATTGCGAGGACAGAAGCGAACGTCCACAATGGGCGCCGTGGCGTCTGAGAGAGCAGCGCGCTTGGTCTGCAGTCGAGCCAGACACCTCGAGTAAGATGAAGACATTACCATGCACACGGAGGTGTGCAATAAGCATTTGATAACCGGTTGCGGGCATCATGTTTTTCTTACCCAGACTTGGTGTCCACCATCGCGTTGCATGCCCGCTATCATGTGAGACACGGTGTGCAAAGCAGGCCATGAGGTCACAGACTGGGGGGGACATTGATACAGCGCACAGGGGCAGGGACCATGAGTCAGGGTGGGCAGCTAGCACGTACGTCGCTCTTCCCAGATGATGACGGTATGATCACTGGAGCAGGTGGCCAGGATGGCACCAAACTCTGGGTGACCCCAACGCACGCGGGTCACCGAGCCATGATGCGACTAGTCATGTGTAGAATTCAGGCAGGTTAGCGCGCGAGCACGAGTACGAGACAAGCTGGCGCACACAACGTCAAGGGTTTAAGGTGGAGGGGCCTCGGCAAGCTCTGCACGCACGGCTTTGACGGCGGCTGCCTCGAGCCAGGCGCCATCTTCCTGTTGGTCCCAGATCTTGATCTGATGGTCGGTGCCGACGCTGGCAAGTCGGTTTCCATAAAAGTTGAAGGCCACGTCATGCACCATGTCTTTGTGCGTGTTGGGCACGGTGAATCCGGCAAAGGCTGCCATGGTCGCGGCGATGCCAGCTGCTCTGCTTGTTGAACGGTTCACCGAGAGAGATTTTTTCCAAAATGGGGAGATACGATAAAATTACATGACCATCCCTTATTTCAACGAGACCATTCTAATTTGTCATATGCATCTCGTTCTTAAACAGGTATCAATCTGTAAACCCTCCTCTTAAGTATATAATCAATATCTGCACCTTGTTGCATCATGCCATTTGTGTGCTGTGATGTAAGTCGGCACAAGCTTGCCTTTTGAGCTTCTCACACCCATGTGCAAAAATAACCACACATGCGATACATCTTTTTGTACTGTTTCGCTTCAGATGTCCACACCCTCTATCACCTCTGCTCACACATCGACAGCCTCATCGCTCAAAGTGCGGACAGGCTTGCACACGGGGACTGCTTCCAGTGCTTCATCACACACACAGACCCGCACACACACTGGACGCGCTCGCACCAGTGAACATTTTTCTGTTCACTGGCCCTGAAGCTACTTGGTTGTGCCACACGTCCAGTGACTGCCCCTTCTTTGACTCCCAGACTCCAGACCCCAGAACAATGGCTTCTCGTACCGTACTGGTCGGCGTGGACGCGTCGGAGACGTCCGCCAATGCCTTCAACTTTGCCTCCAAGCAGTGCCGCCCTGGTAAGGAAACCATGCCACTACACGCACCTGTTGACCCTTGTCGAGGGAGGCGGGAGGCGGGGAGAGATGGCCACGCGTTCCGCTCCACTGGCTCGGTCACCTCGCCTCACTTGCGTTTGCTGCGTGCGTCACTTGCTCAGGCGACGTTATGCACGTGTGCTACGCCTACGCCCCTCTCATGGACTTTGTTGGTCCCGAATTCTCCAAGGCCCCCACCGAGGCCCAGCATCAAGCCTGGCGTGAGCAGGAAGAGGTGCGACCTAAAAGTTCATTTTTTTTTTTTTTTTCTATTTTGTTTTTTGCTTGCAAGTCTGGTCTCGGCCCCCAGGCTCTGGTTCATACTTTGCAGCCACCTTCTCACCCCTGCAACTCAACTCAACAGCAACGGTTCCAGAAGTTTATGGAGTCGCTGCCCAAGCCGGATGGTGTGAAGGTTGAGTCTCACATTATGGCTGGTGATGCTCGCCAAGTGGTACGTTGTTTCATTCGGCTCAATAACCCGCGCATATCTCAGTTTGCTCAGTCAACATTTTCGGCGTCACGACGCACACCTCGTCTCACTTCTTCGTGTCGTGGCGTTTGGCTTTCGTTGTAGTTGACGGACATGGCTTCCACCAAGTCCGCCGACCAGGTCGTTGTGGGCACACACGGTCGCGGTTTCCTCGGCCGTGCCATCATGGGCAGCGTTTCAAGCTATCTGACCCATCACTCCCCGGTCCCCGTGACTGTGGTGCCCAAGGATCAAAAGTAGTCGATCTTTGGAACCCCCTCCCCCCTTTTTTTTGTTTAACATCCGAATCATTTTTGTCTCCAACAGCCTCAAGTCGTCCGCTCTCGATGAGAGGGTTGTCGTGTGCGGCCAACTCTTTCCTGCATAAATTGGCCCGGCTATCGTGGTGGCTGGAGTTTGTCGTCTCTGGCCAAGCGCTGTGCGTGCCCGCGATCAAAATTCATCCCATCATATTACTATTTTTTTCATCATGACAATGTGACTTTAGCATTGGGGAGGCGTATGGCCAGGGACAGAGGAAGACAGGGAAACGTCGATTGTGATACGTTCGAACCAATCGTCAACAAAAACGATAAGAAGCAAAAGCAGGTGCGCGTGCGCGGCCGCAATTTGGCCACCAACTTAAAACTCCAGCTCGATTGATGGCTTGCCGGGGCAGCACATCTCCTTGACCTAAGGTGTAGATTACCATTGGGAGCCAAAGGATCTTCGTCAGCACGCGTTGTCCCCAGCCAAACGCACCTGCCCACACCACTTAGGCCGCAAGCACCCCCCAAAAACTCAGCCAAGGAGAGACAAGACCGCACCTTATCAGGCCCTTCCGAAGCCGGCAAGACCTCAATGTTCACGTTCAGAGCGGTGGTCAAGTAGGGGAGGTTATTCTGCAGCATGCCAATCTCATCAAAGGGCAGCGTCTTCTCCAGGGCGTCTGTGCCCTGCTGCAGGGTCTCATCCATCTTGCCAGCCACAAAGGACATCAGGTTCTTCTTGTTGGCCTTGCAAACATCGTGTTGCTACCGTCAGGCCATGATTCAACGTGAGAAGAGGGATAGCAAGTGGGGGATCACAAGCACAGTGCACTCCAAGGAGCGCGCATGTGTTGGCACTCAAAAGCAAACACGACACCGACATGGTGACCACTCACCATAAGCTCCTTAAAGAGGGTGCCGCGATCGGGGAACGACTTGTCCGCAGCGTTGTACTTCTCGGCCAGCAGATCCAGCACCAGACGCTGCCATTCGGGGTACTCCTTCGAGACGTACAGCAGCACTGCACCATAACACAACCACGGCCGAGAAAGGATGTGAGGAGAATTGTGCGGCTCAAGCATCCCGGCACAAAAAGAAAGTGTGTAAGGCGCATGCCTGCGCGCTTTCAAAAGCGCTCTGCAGCAGACACAGCCTCACACGTACGTACCCTTGGTCACGGGTTTCTTCTTCTTGGCGCTGAACTTGTCAATCTTTTGACGAGTCAGGGACTCTTGCAGGTCCAGGTGGGTGCCTTGGCGCAGGAGAATAGGGTCCACGGGGTCAATCTATGACATGTTGAAGGTTGCTTGAGCGTGAGTTGCCGCGCCCCTCTTCGACCGTCTCAAGTGAAGCAGTATTCAAACAACAAAAGCCGCACCTTGGGCCACTGTGCGTCGACCACGCTGCCCTCCAGACCCAGGAGGCTCCAGAAGTGATCGGCAATGTGAGGGCAAACTGGTGCCATGATAATGGCTTGCATGCGGATAAAGTGGGTCACCAGATCGCGGTGCATGGGGATATCAGTCAGCTTGCATCCCTTGCGGTAACGATCACGAGCCAGCTGCAGCTGGAAAAAGCCCTTGGTGATGGCATCACGGAACTCGAGCTTCTCGTAGGCTGCCTCGGCCGCCAAGACACAGCTGTTAATCTCGTTCACGAACACCTTGTCAAAGAAGGTGTCCATGGCGCCTGCGCGCAGTTCGGGCAGCGCACGGAGGGTCTCCGCCACCCATTCATTCTCGTTGTACAGGCGCAGCACAGCCGCATTGGCCGACTTGAGCTCAAAGTTGGCATCTTCAATCGCGTCGCCCGCATCGGCCAGGCACAGGCGAGTGGCTATCAACAAGCGTTCCGAAAGCAACAAGGCATGCGAGATGAGGGCCCCGCTTGCAGCCGTAAATGTGTTTGCTCAAATCATGCCCGACATTCCACTCACCATCAGTGCCAAAGAGATCAATTGCTTGGTAGAGCGTCAAGAAGTTGCCAGTGCTCTTTGACATCTTGTCACCGTCCAGCAGGAGATGACCGTTGGCGCGGAATGCACGAGGCCACCTGACAAGGAAGGCAAAGAGCCACGGCATAGTCAAGGCAGATGGACAGTGAGGAGAACAAAGAGGCACGATGACACGGCGAGCAGGCAGAAAGAGGCTCTTGATGAACATGAAAAGCCATCAACGTACATTTCGCGAGGGAAGATGGCAGAGTGGTTGTAAAGCGAGTATGTGAGATGGTTGCCAATCAAGTCCTTGCCCGAAACGCGGAGATCCATGGGGTACCAGAACCTGAGGTGACCACCATGCAACATGTGAGGTCAAGAATTGCAGCATGACCAAAAACAAAACAAAACACCGAAAATGGAGTGGGTTTTGGCGGCTGCCAAAAAGGACGCAAAGCCAGCTGCCAATAAAGAGTAGAACAGAGGGATGCTTCGGAATGGCGATGATGCGGGCGCAACTGCTCGAAAAAAATAAAAACACTCACATGAATTCGTTGCGGCACTTGTCCAAGATTTCCTTGGAGACGGGGCAATCGTCGCTCACGGCCTTGCCAAGGAAGACGTAGTCGAAGAACTCGTCCGTGCACTGCTCAGGCGTGATGCCGATGGGCGAGCCGGCACTACCGTCCAGAGAGCCACCTGTGCGGACGGTTCGGGGTTATGAGGGGTGGAGGGAACGAGAGAATGGGCGTCTTGACAGGAAGCGGCGCCTGTGTAACAGGTATACCTTGGAGGAGGTGGGCAATGGTATAATAGGCCATGTAGATGGTCGAGTCGGAAAGAGATTCAATGAGCCAGCTTTCGTCCCAGGGCAGCTTTGTTCCCAGGCCATAGGTGCGACTGCAGGCGTGCTCATGGAGCCAGTCAAGAGTGCGGAGGAAGGCGTCGCGCGCAGCGGGATCAAAGACGTTCATCTGCTTGAGGCAGTCCTCGGCCTTGGCACGCCAGTTTTCCTCGCCGTAGATCAGGAACCACTGATCGGTCAAAGCCACCACGCACTCATCACCCGAACGCGAGATGACCGACTTTTCCGGCTCCATGTACTTGATGGCATCGCCGCTCTGGATCATTTCTTCCTGAATCAGCACCTTGGCTTCCTGTAGACGGCGTGGATGCCAAGGGACAAATTGCAATTTGAGACGGGACAGTTGCAGTCGCAGAGATGAGCAAAGGTAGGCCACGGCAAAGCCCCACGGAAAGACATCGCACCTGAACGGCCTTGCCCGCATGCTCGCCAATGATCATGGTGCCGTTGTAAAAGCCCTGACGGTAGGCAATTTCCTTGGCCTCGGCCAGCTTCTTGGTATCATTCTGGCTTTGCACGCCCATCTGCAGACGCATGGCAGCGTGAGTCGAACGGGGAGTTGAACGGACACTATTGCGCAAACGAAACCAAAACGTACATCTTCGCACAGAGTGGCGGCAATGACGTCGCCATGATCTGGGCAGCGGATGATGGGAACGGGATCAAAGGGCAGGACCATCTCATCGCTGATGTTGTACTTTTCGCGGAAGGCCTGCTTCTTCTTGAGGTCCTTGAGGGCGGCATAGTCATCGGGGGCATCCGAGGGCACCGAGGTCACGACACCTGTGCCCTTGTCCTCCTTGATGGTCATCATGGGCAGGGTGTAAATGACCTTGTTGACGGCATTGGGGGCCGACAGCTTGACGCCCAAGAGCTGGCTACCCTCGACCTCTGCCAGGATCTCAACCTTGCCGAGCTCAGGGGTGAGGTCCTGGTAGCTCATGTTGCGGGCTGCGCGGCGGGTGGTGACAAAGATCTCGTCGTTGACCGATTGCCACACAATGTACGTGATGGTAGGGTGCATCCAGCAGTTGGTCTGCCCGTACATGGTCTCGGGGCGCAGGGTGGCGGCCACAAAAAAGACCTTCTTGCCCTCAAAGGCGGCCAGGGCCGCAGGCATCTCCACGACGCGCATCTTGATGCCCGTGTACTCTTGAGGACCCACGCCCTCGCCCTTAGAGCGATCGTGGTCCATGCAAGGCTGGCCGTCCTTGGGAGAGTAGATGGAGTAACGCTTGCCGAAGCGCACCAGATCCAGCTGCTTCAGCGTGTTGAACTGCCACTTGACAAAAGCATCGTAGAAGGGGTTGGCGTCCGTGGTAATGAAGGCACGGCGCCAATCAGCCTTGAGGCCAAAAACCTTCAGGTCCGCAATGGCATGTGGGGGGAAGTATTGCAGCCAGTAGTCGGTGTCCGTGAACCTATCGAGCAGTGCCGATGATGAGACACATGCCAAGCAAGACCTGGGGCGCCGCTACATCCACGCACTTGGGAATCTCCTCGTCAGGGATGCCGTTGTTCTGCATGATGGTGTACTGGTACCGTGCACCGCCCGTCTTGGCAGCAATCTTCTTGTGCTGCTTGGCATCCGTCTTGGCCTCCTACATTTATTGTCCGGAACGGATCCACCAGTACAAGTGTCGCAGGACGAGTTCAAGGGTCAGTCCATACCCCAATCGACAGCCATGGCCGAGAAGCATTTATATGCCACATGAGACACACATACCGCATCCTCGGGAAACTGAGGAGGGTTGCCAAAGGTTTCCAGCTCGTAGGTGAGCTTATCGGCACAGGCCTTGATGGGCATGCCAGTGCAGTGGAAACCAAACGGGAAAAGGGTCTTCTTGCCCTTCATGCGCTGAAAGCCGGCTGCGTACTCAGCCTTGGACACCGTGAACAGGTGACCCAAATGCAGGCGGCCATTCATGTAGGGGTAGGGGAAGGTGACCATGTAGCTCTCATCGGCATGGGCCGCACCATCCTGCCATCATCAACCCCAGGGGGCAAAGTAAGGACACACACAGGCATGCAACCAAGATTGGCCAGCAGCAGATGACAGGGCGGGAGCGCTACACAAGCAGCAAAGAAACTCACCTCGGGGGCATCTTGCTCAAAAAGCTTCTTCTCCTCCCAGGTGGCGCGGATCTTCTCCTCGATGGCCACGAGCTCATCGCGCTTCTTGGTCTGCTCAGAATTGGAAAAAAAAGGCAGGGAAGCATCAATACATATCTCGCTGGACCGGTAAAAAGGGCATCGCGCTCAAGCAAGGACCGAGTGATGATAAAGAAAGTGCGCACGTACACTGCCAGCGGCTTCGCGGGCGCGTTCGTAAGCAGTAGCCATGGTGTCTGCAGGGTCATGAATACGACCAACGTCACGGCGCATGAGCACAAAATGGCAGGCGAGACCGATGAAGGCTGAGGCGCCTTCTCTTCTTGCAACCCACAAATTGCTCGCGAGGCGCCAGCCTGCCTTCGCCTCGCTCGGCGGCAATCACAGGCGCACGCACACAAAACACGCGACACACACCACACACACCACACGCACACACGCACACACTGATACGCACCGAGTTGGACCGCGACGACTACACGAGCAGGAAAATACACGATGACGCGCTTGTGCTTGTGTCGTTTTGTGGTCACCTTCAGACGTCAGTCCAAGTTCAAAAGCACCGCGCAACCCTGACTCCCACTGACCACTGCAACTGAAGAAACCCGATCCAACTGACATGGGCTTGGCGGTAGCCAGCCGGCCCCCCTTCTCTCCCCCGTTCAGGGACTGGGCTGCCATTCTTGGATCACACACACACACACACACACACACACACACACAACACGTGAGTGAGGGAGCCTGTGTTGCAGCAGGTTATCCCGTCTCCCAGTCTCTTCGGAGACTGCTGGTAGTTTAACCGCTGAATTTCAAATCTCGCATCTTCCTTTTTTTGTGTTTTTTTTTACATGTATTTTATTTATTTATTTTTTTTTTGGTCGAGTTGTCTGAATGCTGGGTGGAAAAGGAGCCTGCGCCGGGTGCTGAGAGGGCTAGAGCAAAAGACTCCATCACCCAAGAGGATTAGAAGGAAGCGTTTTGCTTGAGACCAGACGGATGGCGGGCCAGAGCTGGGAGGCGCACGAATCTGTGCCTGCCTTGGAAACCCTGCATCACGACTTGCTGCGATTTCGTCGAGAGCACGCCGAGCTACAGCATGCACTACAGCGCGTGATCGCGGAGAATGAAGGTGCGCGCCAAAAAGCCGTAATCCAGTCGATTGCGGTTGCTCGTATGTTCGGACCTGCTTTCAAGCACCCCTTAAGCTTTTGAGCTCATGCTAGCTGTTCCCCCACCTCTTAGAACTCTATGCCACAATGGCAGAGCACTTGGCCACCCGCGAAGAACTAGCTCAGGCACGAGAGCAAGCTGAATGGGAAGAGGGCCACGGTCTGGACGACGCTGCTGCCGATGTCGTGGAAGAGGTGGAGTGTTTGCGCGGACATGCCGAGGTGCACGAGGCGGCCCTCCGCCACCTGCAACAGGGATATCGTCTGGCCAAGCAGCAAGCCGAACATGAGCATCAGCTGGTATGTGAGCCCTCGCAGCTTGTGCTGGCTTTTGTGCACCCTTGAACAATAGAGAACGCGGGTTTGTGGTATGACATCCACCCCCGCCATACTCTTCTGACTGGTCGCACCTGCTTTTTTAGCGCATGGCACGGGAAGCAGAACTGGGTGAGATGCGAACCATCAAGCAGTCGTTTCAGCTCGAATTGGGCCGAGCCCTGCAAGTCGGTGCGTATCTTTTCAAGACTTCGGTCTTGCCCTCCAATTCACCCGTGGGAATACCACTTTTGGCCGCCTGGCTCACCTTGCGGCCATGCTCCTCAGTAACGCAACTCGAGCGAGCGCTGCAGTCAAGTCGCGACCGCCATCGGGAGCGCGATGCTGAGGAGCAACTCCTTAGACAGACCTTGACTCAAGCTCAAGCTCAATGCAGGTCTGTTCCTGCTGGCTTTTATCAGCCTGTGGCCAAACACTCAATCCCACCCCTTCTTGAGCTTATCGCTGTTGTCGTCTCACATCTGTAGGAACTCCAGTCGAGATGCCAAACCCGTTCCTCATGACTCGGTGCCAGCAAAAGGAGAGGCCAAACCTGAAGCTGCCGCCGCACAAAGCCATGGGCCGCTTCTACCCTCCCCCGACGTACGCTGCATCCATAGGAAGCGCGGCACTTGTGGCAACCCTGTGCCCCTGACGATATGCGATTTGCCTCGCTCTCACACAAATGATGCTGCGTACAGGATCCTGCCGTTTTGAAGCGACGTCTTGCCGATTTGGAGCAGTCCTTGGAACTAGAGCGAGAGCGTAGCTCTGCTACTCGAGCTCGGGAGCTGGCACGCGTCATGCAAGCCAGCCAAGAACGTGAGCATGCGTTGCAACAGCAGATCGCCACTCACACTCAAGAAATTCAGCTCCTGAAGGTCGGTTTCGGCTCACTGCAGCAACCACAGCCCATCGCCACCTTCAGCTGCCGCCCGCTGCCCACGCCGTTGACCGTGATTTTCATGGCCCTGCTCTTCGTAGACTCGGGGTGATCAAAAGGCTGCTGGGCTGGCCCGCCTGGAGGAAACCCTGAACAATACCCCGGATGCGTTTGCCTCACAATTAGAGCCTCTGCTGGTCAGTTGCCCCCTCCAAGACGCCATGTAGCATCTTCTGGCTGCGCTTGCTCATTCCAGCTGACCAATGGGAGCGTAGAAGGAACTGTCCAAGGAGCAGCGCGAGCGCCGATGTGCCCAAAATCAGGCACGATGTCTGCAGGTGCGTCTGATCCCTCAACGGTGCGCCACTCGTTGTTGTCAACACTTTGCCACTCTGACATGCAGCCGGGCAGGTGGAAGTGGATGCGCTGCGACGTCGAGCCGACATGTTGCAAAAGCAAGTATACACGCGAGACACCGCTTTGGCGCGCGCTCAGCGCCGACTGGCAAATCCTGACATGGCAGTTTCATCGGGGGACCCTCTTCCCGCAGCAAGCTAGCCCGCCGGGCGTGGCGTGCGTCCATCGACACAATCTATTCTATCATCTGGTCCTGACACAACACACAACGAACTCATGTGCTTAACACCCGCAATCCTGACGAGACGGGAAACAAGACCGGTGATAACCAGTTCTCAATTATCTTTTGGTGGGTCCTATTGCTTTTCCGACTGGGCCAAGTCAGAGGTGAGGGCAAGATCCCAGTAGTGGGCCGAGCGGCGGTTGTCCAGCCACTCGCGGGCCAGCGCCTCACTGCGGAAAAACTTGATGAAGAAATCCTTGAAGAACCGCCGCTCCAGCGTTCCCTGGAAACAGCGCACGCGGCCAACAGCAGGAGACAGCTTGTCAGCACGATAGCAAGGAAGCGCGGGGTGGGGTTGACGATGCGTTGTTTGCAAGGGATTGGTGGGTGCGCACACAAAGAACAAGGGACCAACCTCCCAAATGAGGGTGCAGGTATTGGGGCCGCGCTCCTCGCCCTCGCCGTCCTCGTCGTCGGCCGCGGAGTTTGCCACCTTGTCGTTCCAGTTGATGCGGTGAGTCATGAGTCGTTTGTACTTGCGCATGTTACGGGGCCCACCCTCCACGATAACGATGTTGTTTGTGGGTGTCATGATTGCTGCGCCCGTCATGTTATATTGTTTGGCGTTGGTTTCCACCTTGAACTTGTTCTTCTCACTCTTCATTGAGGAGACAAGGAAGAGTGAGGCTGCCACGCCGTCGGCGGTGGAGTCTTGCAGTTTTCTAAGAACATGCGAAGAAAGCGGGAGGCGGCAAGGCAATGAGATAAAAAGTAGCGTATCGTTCCGAAGGAAGAGGCGTCTTTCGAAAGGGTGAACGAGTGACCCTTGGTGGGTCTGCCTCGTAGACTTTCCCGTTGCCCCATGGTGAAAAGACCCATGATGCAAAGACGAGCAGACACGCCTCCCCTCGTCCCCGCTAGAGCTGCAACCACAATGATAACTGACTTGGCTTTCTTGGCACGACGCTGTTCATCAGAAAGCTTGGTTTTGGCGTTGTGTTCCTCGTGCTGACGTTGACGCATTTGCATTTGCGCGCGGACCACGGCTTCCACCTTTGTGGGATCCTGGACGGCTTCCGTGCCCAACACGCGCATGAGGTTGGAAATTTTGACCTTGGGTGCTGGGGCTTCCATCTTCCCCAGGCCAATGAGCGTCTGCTTTTCTTCCTCCTCGGCCCGGCGGCGCTGCTTGCGAATCTTCTTCTGCTCTTTTTTGGTGAGGTAGGCGGGAAGGGTCACGTTGCGCTGGGCACTGTATTGATCAAAAGTAACCGGGTGCTGAACCAGGCGTGTAATGTCGTTGAGGGGCTTGCCAGATTCGGCCTGAGCTTCGTAGGTTTGATCACCGAGCAAGACTTGGTCCCACCATTCGACGTCTGGCACGGTGGTGCTCTCCAGCTCCTCCCGTTTGGGCACAAGGGCCAGGCGTGCAGCCGCTGAGATGCCGGCCTTTTGGGCGGCCGAGGACACCTCACTCTGCAGCTGCTCTAGTTTGGCTTTGGCACGCAAGCGATCGGCATACTCTTGAAACTTGCCGGGTTCATGAAAGCGTAGAGCCCGACGTTTGCGTTGCCCGCGGTCTTCTTTGGCTGCTTCGACCAGGCGGGCATCGTAAAACTCGCTGTTGGTGCGATCAGCCTCTTCATCCTGAACCTCCTTCGTAACTTGAGATAGCTTTTCTTGGCGCTTCGCCCGAGCATTGCCGGCAAAGTCTGATTGGCGCTGCTCGAGCTGCACAACTTTACCGGATTCGTCAATGACCCGGCCACTGGCATCAAGCTTCATAAATGCACGACGCTTGGGAGCCGGCGCCCCCGAAGATGTGGGCAAGCCGAGGCCCGTGGCCGGACCCTTGGGCAGATTGCCGACCCCACTTGACTGGCGGAGAGCGGCAAGCTGTGCCTTCACCTTGGCCTGCAGAGCGGCCACGCTTGCCGCAGATGAGGCTTGGCCCGCGGCAAAGCCACCCGGCTAGCGAGGTCCCGAGGACCATATCATGCATGCCACGGGTCAAGCGGTCGGGAGGTGAGCAAAGCGGACACGGAAGTGGCCAGCAGACAAGGCGCTGCAGGGACAGGGAGAAGACCAGGCATAAGGGGTCGCATGTGGTTGCACTCACCACGGGGACAGACGGCACATGGTGCTGGGGTGCTGCAATCGGAGCGGCGCCTGTTGCTGCTGGGGGTCGCTGCTGTTGCTGAGCAATCTTGGCCTTGGCCTGGGCAATGAGCTGAGAGAACTACACAATTGAATGCACCCAAGCCGAGCAGTTGATAAGAGGCCAGTGCACGGGATCAGTTCTCCCGTCGCGCTGCGGGCGCTACGACACCAAACGAACAGGCTCCTCGCACGAACGGGGGAAAGCATTTAAAAAAAAAAAAAAAAAAAAGAAAGAAAGAAAGAAAAAGAACGCGAGTGTGGCGGTGCCTAGGCTTGGACCACAACCCTTCTTCATCGACAGACACTAGCCCCGCTCACCGGCTCCACTCCCTTTCTTTGCCGGCCCGGGGTAGCTAGTGACTGCCGTTGAGGCGCTGGTGCTCAGCTCGCTCACACACACACACACACACACACACACACACCTTGCTTTTATCGAGTGGGGCGGCCATCTTGACCCAGTCTCCTGGTCTCCTGGTCTTCCTGGGTCTCGCGGTCTCCCAGTCTCGCAAAATACTCATTGGTCTGGATGAATCTATTTTTAGTCGAGACCCTTGCGGAAGGGACCACCTGGCCCAGTCTCCCAGTCTCCCCCGAGACTGGCCACCCGTGCCCACGCTCAAGGTCTACCCAGCAAGCAGTTTAAACGTTACAACCCATTGGTCGTGTCACACTTGTGCGATATGTGTGTGTGGAGAGGTGAACCAACGATCAGTGGTGCTGATCACACCCACATCACGACTCACCGTGGTATTCAGCTTAGATTGACCACACCCATGTGCAGTTGGATGATACCCGCGGAGATTCAGGAACTCGCTGTTGCGATTTCTTTATCAGACCAGGTAGACCGACCCACTGCACCGCCGCCCGCCTTGTGTCTTCTTACCCCCGCTCCCCCCGTCGCCTGCGCGGCGGCCATCGGTTTCCTCCGTGGTTGTCTTGCCTGTGGCCACTGCTTCCGTCATTCCGTTGCACGGTGTACGCAACAACCCAACCACCTACCGCCTGGGCTTTCAAACGGCAGTCGGGGCTGCGATCCCACCTCACAGGGGCATCTTTTTCTTTTCTTTTCTTTTCTTCTCTCAGTCTCCCCCAGTCTCCCGTCTACATCTCTGTCTCCCTCCCTCAACTTGATGCGTCTCTCTGCTTTGCCTTGTGTTTCCCTTGTCTCTTGGTCTCATGCCGAGTCAATGTGATCTGTACCTCTGCCTTGATCTCAGTCTTCATCCAAGTCTCTCTCTCTTGACTGCTCGTTCGTTCTCTCTCTCTCTCTCGTCGCGCGCGCACTGGTGCATGTCGACCCCGCTACTGCTTCCGGCCCTCGCATTGGACTCAACACAACTTCCTCTGCCTCTGCCTCTGCCTCTGCCTCTGCCTCTGCCTCTCTTCCCCCTCCCAGCTTATGCTTTAATCCAGGCCACTATATCTTCCTCTCCTTGGCCAAGCCCAAAGTGGGGCGCGAGGCTTACACGAAATCTTTTCAGCTGCATCTTTGCCATTCAGTCGAGGCCTTGCGGGTCACTGGGTGGCCTCCTTGCGCACCCTCGTGGTGTCTTGTGAGCGGCCCCACCCGCCAGCCCCACCTCCTGGGTTCTGGATACATTCTATCAAGTGTTTCATCCCCATCACCAGGAACCGCGGCGGGCCATCCCGTCCCTCGGTGGTCTACTCGGCCCCGTGAGACGGGTGGTGCCTCTGTGTGTTGCTGCACCAAAGCATCTCGAGCCACGCTTCCTTGCTTTGAGGCGGGTGTGATCTTCTTCCTCTCCACAACGCCGTATCTAGCCCGCATCTTGCCCCCTCACCTGCTTTGGTGATCGCTGAACAAATCTGGAGATCGGGATCGGCCCGATAGCTTGCGATAGCTTTCTCGCAAGGTCCCCACCACTGACTGGTATGTCTTTTTTAGCCGACACGGTTAAGAGTTGCTTGAATGCATGTGTTTCCATGTTTTGCGCGTGCACCGGTGCCACTGCTTGCTTGCGCCAGCCGAGACTGCACACGTCATGAGCTTCATGGTCACTGGCTCAGTCACTGGCTCAGTCACTGGCTCAGTCACGCCTATTGTGTGGGCTCAGCCTTGGCGCTGGCACACTGATACATTGCGCTTGGTTTCATCTTTCTTTTCACCACGCTCTGTCACCCGCGCTTCTCTGCCTCTGCCTTCCTGTTTCCTTTTTTTTTTTGTTTTTTCCTCCTCCTCGTAGGAAAGCAAACTCTGCTTGAGGTTGCACTGACCAGACTCATGGAACCCGCCACCACTGCGGCTCCACCCGCGCACGGGAATGGCGATGGTGTGCCCAAACCTGTTGACCAAGTTCCCAGTGAGCAGCAATTAGACGCGTCCCTCACCGATAATCCGACCACCTCAGAGGCCGCCGCCCAACCCGTTCCCGTCCCCCACGTTAGCGGTGGTGATGGCATGATGAACCAGCTTCCCAGCATGACGGCAACCCCGGGTGGCCTCCTGTTTCCCTCGGGGATGATGGCCTCAATGCCCACCAGCATGCATCCTGGTGCAATGGCCCAGCCCCCCTCAGCCATATACAACCCAAGCTTCTCTGTTGGTGCCCACGAGTACATGCTCGGTGCACTGACAAGCTTTGAGCAGGTAGAGTTCTTGCCTCCCTCTCACGTAGCAAGCCCCCGCCTGCTTGTGTCGGCCAGATCCAGGTATCCGCATGCATCCAGGCATCTGCCTCACACTCAATCATCGCCGCTCTCGCTTTTGCCTACACAGGAATTCGGTTTGCAACGTGAGGAGCACGATAACATTGAACATTTTACGGTACGTTTCCTGATGGCTCACTCACTCATGCCGGTTTGGCAAACCCTGTCTTGACTAGATACCTCATTTGTGACCTGCCCGCGCGTCTAGGATCCCAAGTTCAAGACCGACCACAGTAGCCATACTCTGAGCAAAGTCTTGTCCAATCGTCAAATTCGCGCCAATCTCAACAAACTGCCCGTCCCTACAGAGCTTTATGCCCAGGCCGTTCAACTGTACCGCATCCGGGGTCGTGTCCGTTTTAGCAACGTGCTGACGGAGGAGGAACGGAAGCACGGCGCCCGTGTCTCATCCTACATTTGTCTCGCTTGCGGCCGGCACCACGGTATCACCTCGGCCATTCGTCATTGCCTCCGCTCCCTTCGTGCCGACGTCAAGAACGGCGAGATTGACTGGCAATCCTGGCAGCCCTGCCCGTGGACTGTCTTTGGCCCCGAGTTTATCAAGGGTTGCCTTCAGCCTGTTCCCCGCATCCTCAAGCGCTCCAACCCTGGTACACCTGGATCCGAGCCACGTTCACAGCGATCAAGGCGCAACACCCTGCATGACCTTGGTGAGGAAAGTCTACTGGACCAAAGCGCCTCGGAACAAAGCCTGATGCAGCCCAGCCCTGGCCCTCCCAAGGCAAATTCTGATGAACTTAGTGCCATCATTCTGGAGAAGCTCAACTCTATGGAAGCTTCCATCGCCAATCTTCAGCGTCAGGTCCTTTCCATCGAGCGCACGTTGCACCCGATCACCAACGGCCCACCCAATGGTCCCGCCCCCAGTCCAGGCTCCACGCCTGGCCCTGGCCCAATTACCTCTGAAGCGGCATCCGCCCGCAGTACTCTACCTGACCACCCCCCACATTTGCCGCATGGCCAGATTGAGGCATCGGAACCTCACAACCAGCATCAGTCGTGACCTTGTGGATCCGGGTTGGCGTCTCCCATCAAATCAGGGCATGCTTCCATCCGTCTGGTGGGCAGGTTGCATCTCGTCCATCGCGAGTGATGGTCTTTTGCGCCTGCTGCTAGGACTCGGAGCACGTGGATATGGCGGGGATGCGGTAGGTCGACTGGCTAGATTCAAAGAATGAAGAAACTGAAAACGTCAAAACAAGAAAAGTTGCCTTAAGGTCGAGAGACGTGATGGGTCGGGATGAATTTTTTTTTCTTCTCTTGTTATAGTGTGTATGTCTGTGTTTGTGCCTGTGTGCCTGTCCATGACATCTTGTTGCCGCACTGCCTCGTCATAGTCAGGTCGTCGCTGTTCTGCCTCTATGAGACAAACACGATACCTGGCTCGTCATCCCTGGACCCATGTCTTTCTCCCTCTTGCGTGTTGCCATCAATTGTACGATCAGTCCCTTTTTTTTTTTTTTTTTTTTTTTTTTTTTTTTGGCCGAGTCGCATCCAACTGTTGCCTTGGCTCTTGTTATTCAAAGTATCGTCACACAAAACATGCATGACCCGGCTCCCATGGTTCAAGTGCATTCGGTCGTCACGCCAACGTGCTCGAAAGCAGCCTCTCCCAAAGGACCCCCAAAAAAACCAGGAGAAACAAAAAGGTTGTGTGTGTGTGTGTGTGTGTGTGTGTGTGTGTGTGTGTGTGTGTGTTGCAGTTTGCGGACACCGAGCTTCTTGTTCTCTCACCGGGAAAAAAAAAACTTGACCAGTGGGGGCAAGACCTCTTTCTGGACCATGGCTCGGTCTATGGCTTGGTCCCTGTAGAGTTGAGAGCCCTCGGAGCGAGCTGCTGTGGGCCAGTCTTCTTTCTCGAGTCCTCACGTTGCAATGGCTCAGCGTGTGTTTCGGTGCGTTTCAAGGACCCAAATCCTATCGACCTGCGCACCTCTTGCCAGCTCTCAAGGAACTCTCCCCTCTCCTCGCCAATCATAGGCCCGATCCCAACGGCGAGGCTGATGCGGTTGATGACGACTGGCGCCGCATGTACCAGACCGTTGCCAAACTTCGCGCCAGCCATGTAAGTCCAGCAGCAGGTGTGAATAGGGTTTACAGAAACGAGAGCGACAGGCGGCGCGAGCAGTGGGGAAAGAAGCAGGGGTGAATCTTGCCGTATGCCTTATAGATATCAGATTGACCGTGTACGCTTCTGCGTGCTCTGCTTCCGAGAAGCAGACCAGTGTGGGTGACCAGCTTGCAGCTTTACAGACACATGCTCAGCGGGGCCGAACTGAGCACGATGCCGTGATTGTTGGCCTGCTCTATTCGGCTCTGCTATCTCGCAGCCCACCTTCCACAGAACTTCGGTGAGAAAGCGCCAACCAACCCACTGGAGCAGGGTGTCATCAGGGTTGACCGTATCTGTCGTCGTACTCAAAACCGACCGCTTTCTTGCCATGGACGATGCGCTCAGCTTGATCAGCGAGAGCCAGACGGATGACGGCGCTTGCTGCCTGAAGAATGTCGGTTGGCTGTGCGCACAACGCATCTGGCGCTTGCTCAAGCCGGCCCGCACCCAGGTAGCTTGGCTTGAACCTTTGCGACACTGCTATGAGTCCCATTGTTGCTCTACGTGGTGCTGCTGTGCTACGACGTGGGTGTATGACACTTGCACAACATTTGTCGTTAGCTGCTGGCTCTTGTTCGTGGCTTGATTGGCTTTGAATGGCGCGGGCTCGACGGTAAGAGTTGGCATGATCAGCACCTCAAGGCAGTCTGGGCCACGCAAGCTGGCATTCAAATATTTGCCATTTTGATACCTCTTCCTTTTCACAATCAGGAATTGTCATGGTGCTCTTGCGGCACTTGGCCATCGGGAGCGCCACTACGGAGCAGCGAAATCTGGCAAAAGAAGTTTTGACGGTACGCATGAAGTCCCAAGTCTCATCCCCATGTCTGACAGGCTATATTGCCTCTTAATCATTCAGAGCCTCGTGCTTTCCTGTCCACGGTCTTTGCTCGTGACTGTCGCGGTGCTGATAAGCGCCTGCTGCTATTGTAGCTTTTGGAGACCAACGATGCCTGGGTCGTTCGTCATCCTGAATTGCTGACTCGTGCCGTTGATAAGTTTTTGCGACTTGTACCGGATCATCAGGAGTCAGATTGTGCCACACTGATGCAAAATGAGGTGCGCTCGTTGCCACAAACAATGGCAGCTGAATGGGATTTGGAGAGGTTGAGGCTCTGCCATCACCCGCCTTCTTGCTTGACGCCCACCGATGCCCTTGACATTTAGGTGGAGTGGATCTCGCGTGTCCTGTACAAGCACATGGATCTATGCATGGGCATGGGTCGTGATCTAGTTCGGAGTCTTCAAGACGTGGCAAACATACCTGAACTAGGCGCCATACTTCGAGATTTGCGCCACAATCCCAGCCGCTTTGCTCCAGCCAACCCAGAGTCAGTATTGTCCTTTTCACCGAGTTTCCTGAGAGTAAAAAGCAACTAGTCTGCTCACCGCGTGGCAAACTGTTGTATTGGGATACAGCTTGTGGACGATGCTCACAACCAGGACGAGCCGGCGACTCCTACAAACACGACTCACTGCGAGCATGGAAACCGATCTCGTGAACATCATGACTCAGGTAGTGTGCTCAAGTCTACACTAATGGGTGCGGTTCAGAAGGTGAACATGGCTGCTTGCCCCGCTGTCACTTCCTCAAGCGCCAGGAAAACAACAGCCAACAAGAAGACCTGACTCCATTCAATCTGCCTCCATCTAACCTTGTTTTCTACGTTAGGCCACCTCGCAAAACGCCACTACCGCTCAAGACGCTTACGCCAAGAAACATCTCTCTGGTCATCATTTTGAACACCTGATCCCAGACCTCATTCGCTTTATCTGTTGTAATTTCCATCCTACCAATGAGGTAAGCGTATTGTATCGATGGACCTGCTCGTGGCTTTCGCAGTGCATTGGCCATCTTACCTCGACCCGTGCTCTTCCTGCCGTTGATGTGGTAGATGCTTCGCACCAAGCTGATCAAACGCTGGGAGGTCATACTCTGGCTCCTCCTGCAGCTCAAACGTAGTGCGGCAGCCCAGCGCGCAAAACTTGTTGGTCACTACGCCCCTGACTGACATCCTTCAACTCTGCTCGTGCTTGTTCTTTTGGTTCAGCTCTCACATCTAACGAGCTCGGTCGCCCTACGTCCAGGCCTTGCTCTTTGACTGGTTTTTCTTCGACTCCCAGTCAAATGTTATGAACGTGGAGCCAGCTATCTTGCTCATGAAAAATGCCTGCCAACAAGATGCCCACATTACAGTGCGTGAGAGCTCATCTCCGGCGCGCCATTCAGCCATGAAAGCTTCCCTTTTCGAGCAATGCTGTGCTAACTCATCGTGGCCCAATACAGATGACATTGGGTGAATTCCTTGCTCTGATGGCTGGCCGCTACCTACCAGAGCGCCGACAGGACCTGCAGCGGAACATTGCTGTGACGTTTGAGCGTTGTGTGAGTCGATCCCCCGCATAGGTGGTCTTTCCCGACCAAGGGGAATTGAGCAATGTGTCAGTGGCCTAGACTAGGAGATATCTACCACACCACTCAACTTCTACCTGGTGTGCTCGATGGATGCTGGCATGTGAACCTTGGAATACGTGCAAATAGGTCGAAGTCGGCGTGGTAGGAAGTCTTGTCGAAGTCTTCGATGCCAGCCTCATGCCTCAGCCCTTGTTTCGTGTTCTCGAGGCCGCGTTCCCTACCATTATTTTCCGCTCTGTGTATGTCGCACCCCGACCCTTGTGGCCGATGCTATGGCCCCTGTGCATCGGGGCTTTGACATGCTCACTTGTCTTTGGTGGTGGTGTGGCCAGGGCCTTTGACGAGGAAGATCGACGCGCTCTCGAGGCTAAGCGCGCTCGAGCTGCAGCAGAAAAGTTTGTTGAGTGCTGCCCTGCATTTCGCCGCTTCGATGGAGTCGTGCAAGGTCTCACTGGGTTCGACTGCTAACTAACGTCTGAATAGAGCGGTGGCGGCAGCTGCTCGCCTTGCTGAAGAGCTGGCAGAATCGCCCACAAAACATCAGGTCTGACGCATTGCAAGGCCCTGATTGCTGAAGCAGCTAAGCTGATGCCCCATTGTTGTCTCTTCCGAAACTGCAAAATGCTTGGTCTTGTGCATAGAGCCTCTCCTTTCCGCCTCAAAGGACATCCCCACCGACCAAACGAGCACGTTCAAGTGCTGCGCCACCTGCGCTTCCTCAATCTGCAAATCTGCCTCCCGCTGAAGAGGAGGCGCCGTTTGTCCCTGGCGAGCTGATAGTAGATGAGGATGATTTTGACCGCCCGTCTAAGCAAGCAGGTCTGTGCACCCTGGTCTTCGCTCGCGTGATTCAGGGTATTCGCCACTGAGCCGTCATTGTTTTGTATTTTAATTTTTTTTTTTTTTTGTTCGTTTTCCCTTGCTTTTGTTCTTGTTTTATTTTCTATCCCAAATCCCGCAGAGTTGGTGACGGCATTGGATGTCAACGAGTATGACCCACTCTCAGCTGGCCAGATTCGCCATTCTCGTGGATCTTTGGCCAAGTTCGATGGCATCCTCGACCGGCTCAATGCTGTACGATCTCACAACCTAGTGTCGGGAAGCATGGCGAGGCATTGCTGTCCAAAGGCCCGTGGCCTTGACCGCTTCTCATCAACTTACCTTGTGCTTCGGTCGCTATCTTGGAGCAGGCGGATGCCACGAGCTTCGAGGATTGTTACGCCGAGCTCATCAACAAGCTATCGAGCGTAGTGCAGCAGAGCTCAGGTATTCATGTCTGCAACATCAACACATTTGAACATGTTGCCGGGCAGAGTTTTGGTGTGGCCTGCGAAATGGACAGCCAGAATGTCACTCAACATGGTTGATACGGGGTTGTAGATTTGGCCTTTCTCCCCGATTTGGCGCGCGCCGTCATGCCGTCTGTGCTGCTCGCATTGGACCTCCTTGACCTGTCAGCGCCAGAGCCAGTGCAGGCAAGGGAGCTGAACGACTTGATGTATCAAATGTCGCATCTCTATGAAACTGTGTCCCTGGGCCCGCTGGGACCACTTGTTCGCGCGGCCATCGTGCCGCCCATATCAAGCGCCCGGCAACCCATTCAAGCTTTCATCGCTAGTCTTCGTAGTGTGGAGATGAAGTGAGTCTTGTTGTTTGGAAGTGCTTCTCGTCGCCCTTTTGTTCTCTTGGGTAGCTGACCTTCCTGCTTGCAATTTCGGGCCAGGCTTGGTGGTCTCCTCCTTGTTGCCATCGTTCAATCGGTGGCCGATGCCGACGCAATCGAAGAGTTGTACATGTATTTGGCAAGTGCCAACGAGCTGATTGAGCACGAGGCAAGCTCGCGGCACTTGGAACACACCAACTATTCGTCGCTCTGCGTGTGTTGGCAAAACCCTGGACGCTCATCTGAAATCGAGCATGCCCTAGGATTGGACGTCTGCTCTGGCGCTGGACTTGCATGAGTTACATCACATGGCACCTGATCTATGCGGACCCGTGTTGATGCGCTTGCACCAGCAGGTGGGGTTTAATGCTTGCTTTGCCGCCCGTAACTTGTCCTTGCCACTGTAAAGCAGATTCCCAAGTCTTTGGGTGTGTTTTGGTGCATGCATTTCATGCGTGGTGGTTTCATGTTTGACTCTTGTTTGTTCTTCTGATGGCAATTAGGTCCACGGACGCCTGAGTGCCTCGCCTGCCGTGTTGACGGTCATGGTAGAGCTGGCTCCTGTCCAGCTGCTCTGCCTGCGTCACAAGATGAGCGTTGGGGCGATCCACTTCATTTGTCCCCCCAGTGATGATGAGGCTGCTGACTACGACGCTATGGTTGCGGAGCAAGGGTAGGAGGCGTAGACGAGCATAGCACGACTTTCCTGACATCATGCTCGCTTCCGAGCAGCATGCCTGGGGCGAGCTGCTGCACTCAAGCCAGTCTTTCGTGCCGAGTTGCTCATTGTTGTTGTCGGGTTGATTTGTTTGTTTTGTTTCTTTGTTTGCTTAGACGAACGGTTGCAAGGCTGTTTGAGCAAGTGATGTCCTGGGGACCTCAGCAGCAACTGCAGCTTGGTCAATTGCTCATTGCTGAGAGCACGGCGTGGGATGAACTTGTTATTCTTGAGGTGGGATCCCACTACAGTTTGGCCGTTGTCTCTAATCTTCTCGTCCTTCAAGAGATGATGACTCACGGTGGGCATAATTGGCCAACGCAGATGCTCAAAGCCTTGCCGACCGAGCTCTCATTGGTGGAGAGTGCCCCCCTTATCGAGGCATTGGGACAGCTATGTGCACGCATGCAGCCGACAGAAGGTGCGCACAAGTGGCCGCTTTTGCTGCTTTCGTATCGCTCTATGACGCCTCAGCTCCATGTCGAATGCGTTGTGGCCTTGCGTAGAGAATGTGGAAACGGTCATGGAGCTGCCAGATCAACTCGCATACGTGCGGGTGACGGCCGTACTAGCCTGGATCACGCAACGACCCGCTGACCTCGTGGATGCACTTGCAAGAAATTTACAAGCGCTAGCTCGTGGCTTGCAGGAAGTTAAGGCGGGCGCCAATGTGGACTGTGTGGCATATCTCAGGGGATGGAAGCAAGTGGTTGAGCGAGATGTACATGGCTCCCACCCGTTGCGTCTGCGCTTGCAGCCAGTGCTGACCGCGCCCAGCGTCAAGACGGCCCTCATCGAGTTGTTTGCTCTTGGTAAGAACGCTAGTGCTCGATGTAGAAGCTGACGAGATCCGTATCCACGTTGCCCAACCATGCTGCTGAGGATCTGAGTGCCATCTCGATGTGATCTGACCCAAAGTTTTCTTTTTTATTTATTTCTTGACAATTTTTTGGCAAATAACGATTAGGGTCAACGGAATGGCGAGGCGAGTTTGGCAAATTGTTAAGCGCTTGTGAAGTGGTTTGACGGCTGCAAAGCAGCAAGAATGAAAAAAATAATATTGACATGGAGTTTGCAATCGACATTTCAGTGAGAGTGCATGCAGCATGCTTCAAGCACGTAGATAGGAGGTCGTCACGCAAGGATGGGTCGAATCGCGGAACTTACAAAAAGGTCAATTATTATGTGACTCAAAGAAAATAAAAAATGGTACGTATCAAAAAGTGTGTCAACAGAAAAGCGAAAGTTGTTGTTGACACGAATTATCGAAGATTCATTATCAAAAGCATCAACTGACATAAGACGAGGCAGCGTTTCCCGTCAAGCACTCGTGCGCTGGACGACCGCCTGCACGCGTTTGTGTCGACTGTCTGCCTTGTCGCCTGTATGCACAAATCAAATTGAGTGCTAAAGCAATAGGGTTCATGGATCAGATGTGGGTCTCCTCCACTTCTTCGGTAGATGGAATTGTCAAAGCCACCCAGGCGCTGAAAGCGTCATGCAGATCTGAAGCCTGTGGGCGATGGTCGCGTTGGAATGCCCAACATCGGGAGATGATCCTAAGCGCAGTCATGGGAGTGGCAAAGGTGACACAACTGTGAGATGACAAACGTGAGACGTAACGGGTGCAAGGACAGAGCGGCTACATACATTCCCAACCCTGCTTGCTGCACGCTCGGGGGTAAAGCAAGGCGATGACCAGCGTCCAGGTGTTGGAGCAAGCGGGCTGGATCATATTGTGCAAAGGGTGAAAGGCCCGTCACCACTTCAAACGTCAACACCCCCAGCGCCCTGAGGTATGGCGTAGTCAGCAGAAGCATTGCACTTGTGAGAGGGGCAGAGTGGGTCACCTGATTCGGATGACTGAGGGATACACACCAGACATCACTGGCCCGGGACATCGGGGCGCCGTGTAAACACTCAATACTAAGCCATCTAGGCAAATGGGAACGAATAAGAGATTCATGTCAGAGATGGCTTGACGTTCATATTTTAACGCAAGTGGAATCCCTTGGATCGGACCTAAACGGGAGTTCGCCATCGATACTGGGCCGGTAATAGCTTTCGCCTGTTTGCAACTTTCGGCTCACTGGTGCCAGTATGCGCAAAGCATGAGATTTCATCAAGAAAAGCAGGTGTGCTTTGGGTTAGGGAGGGTTTGTAAAAGCACAAGGTAGAAAGACGGGTCAGGTGGCGCAAGAAAAGTCAAGACGCACGTCCAAAGTCAGCGAGCTTGCAAATATTCGGGTGGCACAGAAGCACGTTGCGAGCAGCCAGGTCACGATGAATGATATCTCGGGCGTGCAGATATGCAACGGCATCACATATCTAAAAAAGGAGGGGGTTGGCTCGTGGGCCATTAAGACATGCATGG